TATAATATATTTTTTTTTAAATAATATTAAAAAGATTTGAACTCTCTCTTTTTACTCTCTCTTTTTTGCAGTATATTTGACTAATCATGCTTATAAAAAGATAGTACGCAAATATAAAAGTATGATATGTTTATGATGAATCAATGTTTGCTCAAGCTAAAGATTTTAAGATTTGTTGAGCAATTCATCAATGGCTTACCATAATAAACATCGGTAGCTCCTTGGAAAAATCGTGGTATGTAGTTTTCTAGTACCGTAAGAGTTGTATTTATATCCTCCAAAACGCCAACTACCGCGTAGTGCTTTTCCACTGCCAACTTAGCTCGCTCCAAAGCACCAACGGTATTAAAAGGACTTTTAGAAGAAGAGTATGTTAAAATGCCACTTGTGCACTTCATAGTAATTATAAAAATATATATTGTACATTATCGTCATATTATTCAAAGTTTATTGTAAACTTTTGTATGACGGATTTTAATTTATTTATACAAAAGTAATTTCCGAATATTTTGCAAACAAACATTCTTACGTGCACTTTTCACTGTGTCCGCAAAAGAAGAGAGTTTGTCTACGATGATCGCCGATGCCCTCGTGGATCTCACCCTGCAAATATCTGCACTCTCGATCACCCTTCAATACGCACGACTCGAAGTCCTTTTTGAGCCAATTGGGATCGGGCAACGGTAGATCCGGGAAGATCTGCTTCCTCTCCACATAGTACCATGGTGCTCTTACGTAATAATACCAAGATATGACCCTTTCCACAGGATCGCGTACTATGTTGATATAAATCGGCTCCGGTAGATGGAATCTGACGAAGAAGATACAAGAAAGTAGAAAATGGCAGTAGCAATCATTTAAATTGCCAAGGATAATCTCGTGGTACTCACTCTGTGAAGTTAGTAAAGCAGACGTGCTTCACGTAAACAGACGGTTCCGAATAACTGCTGACCATCCTGGCGAGATGTAACTGAAAGCATAAAGAAAGTTAAATGAAAATTATATACAATCTGCACTACAGGCTATAGTACTTTGAGAAGGATATTGCAAAAAGTGATTAATCTTTCATTATTATTTTCGTTATTGTAAACCTGTAATAAACCCCGTGGCAGGAAATAAGATTTTTTTGAAGAGAGTCAAATGTTGACTTCAAACGACTCCTTAAATTGCATGGATTCTTATAGTCTTTCTTTATCCTAATATCTATTGTCACATTTTCTACCTCTTCTTTTATACTTTATCCAGTGATACCTCTTCCCGTTCTTTTTTCCTCTTAGCCTTATAATTTTATCAAGATGAGAGAACTCCGGGCAAAAAAAGGAAGTGATAAAACCGTTTTAGCGTTTAAGTCATTGGATCGGTAATATCACCGTATTTTTGTATCACCTTGTACGGCTCAGCGGTGACAGGATTGTAAATTAAACTGGTAATTACTATGCGAGCGGCTGACATCACGCAATTGATGGTAATTGATTGGGTTTTCTTGTTAGAGGTCGTCGTACCTGCTCGATCGGCGCGAGACGTATGGTTTCAACTCGCTGCACGCGGTCCCTGTTGAACGAAAATGCATTCCTTATTGACAGCCTCCTCAATAGCTCCATAAAGGTCTGCGAACCGACTTTCGGCACACGATTAAAGAACAGAACCTGCCGGTCAGCCCTCTTCGTGTTGTTGAGGGTGTCGATATCGAGCGCTTCTTCATCTTCGTACTAAAAAGAATTATAACGGTACAGTTTATCACATTAATTATTATATGTTACCGAATCTGTATATCGATCTGAAAATCGATAAATTTCAATCAATTTAGTTTTCTTTATACTTATTTGCGTCCAATTAGAATGATATATACATATGTAAATTATTTATGTTTTAAATATAAATAAAAGAAAGCATACACAGCCACAACACTAGATGTCTGAAACGAAAGTCATATATTGAAAATTATAATATAATATTGTAACGTAGGTGTTTCGGTCAAGATTTGACCATCATCAGTGCATACAAAAATAAAGGTGTCAAAAATAAAAACATAAAATTAAACAATAAACGCTAGCCAGAAAAGATTGTAAAACAATTTTCAACTCGCTTATGGTACGAGATAACAGAGTAATTTGACAAAACTTGAAGTTGAACATTTACTTAATCGTTAATGAATTATTTTCTGTTACACGTAGAATTCCTTATTACAAGAAGTAAAGTGCGACTCCGTGTGGCAAATACGGAATTAACTTCGAATTACTCTGTTATCTCGTACGATAAGCGAATTGAAAATTGTTTTACAATCTTTTCTGTCTAGCGTTTATTGTTTAAGTTTATGTTTTTATTTTTCACATCTTTATTTTCGTATGTACTGATGACCGAAACGTCTACGTTATTATATTATAATTTTAAATATGTGACTTTCGCTTAAGACATCTAGTGTTGCGGCTGTATGCTCCCTTTTATTTATATTTTCTATTGGTAAGCGACTTAAAAAAAATTTTCAATTTATTTACGTTTCCTACATTTCTCTCTAGAATCTCTAGAATCATGGAGTTAAGCATGTCAGGGAATAATCAAGGGATATACGTGAGTAACGCAGTGTCAGAGGAATCAGGATGCAGAGAATGTTGCGGACGCGAAGTGCAATTTACGAACCAGTTTACCCGTTCATTTTCGGCGCTCGTCTGTCATTATCTACGGGCTGCCTCGTTCTCTCTGAAAGAGAGAATATATTGTTCCACGCGGAACGTCCGATTCCCTCTCGTTAGATAACGATTCGTGTTATTAGCAAGTCATTCCTCGGCATAAGGCGAACGAAGGTAAGACTGTTGTAAGCGCAAGTGCAAGTACGAACTAGACAGCTGCCCCGCGTTGCGAATTGCGATACCCAGCGGCGCGGTAATAAGCGGCCCGTTCTCTCTCTTTCGCATTGCACATCTTCCGTGTATATTTTCATCACTAACAGTACCATCGATCGGGGGTTTCTTTTTTTTCTTTCCGCGATCGACGCGCCGTGCACCGTATGTTAATTCATTCGGCACGTTATATCGGATATCGTATGTTGTCGTAAAAATTAGCGCCTACATCTATACATATGTATGAGCAAAACTGGGACATGTGAGTATTACTTTTGTATCATAGATGAGAGAAGGTGTGACTTTACGTTTTCTTCTTTTTTTTCTCTTATTATTAAAAATTCTCTGCCATATTGATAGCTGTAATTGATTTTCTGTGTCGCATTGAAGAGATCGACTAAAGTATGGGAATAAATTAAAATATTATTATCAGTATTTACTGATCTGCCATGCTATGGTGTTTTCGAATAAATAAGTAAAGCGCAATAGAAAATCATTAAAGATTCTTTTATAATACGATTCATATATTATCTTGGTCTTTTTGTTTTATTTTTCTCATCTAATTCGATTTTATTCTGGTACATCGTGCAAATATAACAGAACTAGTAACGCAAACAAGTCAAAGACTTGAATAATTTACTGGTTTAAGATAATGCATATATGTAACGGATAGATCTTTAAGAAGGTCGTTTAGTGATACATGGTAAATAGTTGCACAATATCGGTCTCAATTTTCATAATTTGACAAGAAAGAAAACAGGCGAGATATTAATGAAAATATAATATGCTTTATTCAATTTTCTAATTAAATAAAACCGTTATTTATTGAAGCAAATGATTACTTATTAATAATTTTATTTGTATCGTAAGATAATCTTATATACGTAATTTATTATTGTTAAATACTAAGAATTATCAAATAGTTGTTCGCTATAAAAGATAATAAATGTGCTAATTACCTTTTCCACGAGAATACGTTGTACATTTGGATAATGGACGATACTGTTTGAATCAGAATCCGTTTGGATACCGTCTGAAAACAGATAAAAATATATAATAACGATCAAATTATTCTAATAATTAAATAACATAATGACTGTAAAATAACAATAATGATTAAAATAAGTATTATAGATCTTTGTTGATTAAAAACAATACTATCGACTTTCCGATTTTTTTTCCCGTTTATACAAAATGTGACCGTAATTTTTTCTCCGCTATTGTGGAGAAAACCACGATGAATTTGTGTCATGTCATTCGGAAAAATCACCGCCGGAAGAAGATAAACTTCGTTTAACGTTTGATGGACGATCCTGTCGCGCAAGTCAGCAAATGCCGAGATTCCTGCCTCTGCTTTCACGGTCATGTGGAAAATTGCGTACATAACGACCAGATCTCCTACAAATATGTAGCCTCACTTTAGAGACTTTATGTAAAGTTTCATAGAAATTCTTAAGCTTTGCGGAATTCTTCCGATTAATGTCAATTTCTTTGTTCTGTGATATCAGCCAAAAAAATCGATACACGTTGAAATATTCCGAGAGAAACAAATAAAAAATGTGTGTCATTCTAATTTATTTAATGCATTAACCTATATAAATGTACATTATTGCAATACGTACGATTTCAATTCTTTTTACATTTTTGTTTGCAATACTAACATTTTGATAAATATTGTCAATTAAATTAATTAATTATTTAATTTTGTATAACCACAACATGTGATAATTGTTGGATCTCGAACAAATTCCCAGACTTATTCTTGCTTACGGTTCTTCAAACTCGCATTTGTATTTCTGATGATGTGTTCCTCGAGTGTCGAGGAATTGTTCTTTGTCGCTCGTGCAGATCTTTATCGCACTTTTCCCAACATGTATATATACAGTTGGAATTTGGCACATAAAACTGCGCCGGAAATACCGTAACAAAGTCTACGCGATCCGTTACACGCGTGTGGAACATTCGCTGAATAAAGTTATTTAGCTGGCAAATCTACGCGATTGTTCGTTCGAAATGCCGCAGACATTGACAGATAAGCATTCTTTCTGATTACATAGTCTCAGCATGCGCAGAGTATTGTCAATATCTATGTGATGCAAGATACAAAAAGTATAATTTATTTCTCCGCCACGTTTCCTGGTGGAACAATTCAATTAACGAATTATGAACGAATGGTCTTCTGGAGCTGGATCGAGGAAGTGATGTTACCATCGCACGACGTGATCGATCATCAGTGCAACTCCATGGAATTCATTAAGACCCCTAGAAAGTACGACTCCGGTTCCTTGTTAGCGCACTGGAATATCCTCGGATGTATCCCGATTGTGCGACGAGTCGCGGGGAATGAGAATCCCGCGATGGATAAATTGGTGATCGCGGTGATTAAGAGGTCGCCGTGGAACTCGGCCAAGAGCAACGATCTGCAGAGGGACCGGAATCGAGGTCTCCCGTAGGCGACCGTTGGTCATCTTTAGAAAGTTACCGCTCTCCGTCGAGATGCTCGAGAGCGTCTCTCATGCGCGCGGAACGAACGGGAGAGGAAAAAGGTACAGCGCGCGAGCTGCCGGCAATGCATGTCTCCTTCTCTCTCTCTCTCTCTCTCTATATATATATATATTTTTTTTTCTTTACGTCTCTCTTTCTCTCTGTATTTCTGCCGCTACGCAGCCAGCTGGAAATGAGATCTTGTTTCGTGCAAAACTAGTCGATCGTTCTATATGTACTTTGTCTCTGATCGATGTGACTAATCAGATTTTTCCGCCCGATTGAATGCGAATTAACTCGCGTGATACGCTTAAACTACAAGAACCAATTTAAAAAAAAATCAACTCGTATGCATTTTCTCTTCCGGAGACTTATTATTTTCTCATTTCAGATTTAAGTGCCGAAAAAGATGTAACGAAAAATGTCAAGCGCTCAAAGCTTAGCTTTCTAAATAATTCTTCCGACACCGTACTTCTTATTAATTAATCAATAATTAGGCATACCGTCAGAAAGTTTCATGGAGTCCCAGAGCTTAGATGTCACGATGTTTTTTGCTGAAGGCTCAGGAGCAATTTATATATTAACACATCGTTGATCGGAAATTAAATTCAATAGAACGCTCGAAACGTTCGTGCGGAAAATGTAGCAGCAGGGATTCAGTCGGGATCATGGCAAGAGATAAGCGCGCAAGCAGCTTCTCTCGCGATCACGAGTGCAGTAGAGGTGGTCAGTTCGTGATCAGACTGACAATAGCAGCCACAAGCGCGGGCAGCTTCTTGTGACCTCACGCAACGCAAGGAAAGCCGACAGAGGCGATCATTGATGGTATCGGTGGTTCTCTCTCTCTTTCTCTCTCTCTCTCTCTCTCTCTCTCCTCTCCTCTCCTCCTCCTTCACCCCTTTTCAACTTCTTTTTAATCCCTTCCTTCTTTTGCAGATCTATGTGAGCCGGAGTCTTATCGTAACATTTTAAAAGTTTAAACGGACGATTCTTTAGGCTTAGACTTCCGATTGATGTGCGCCGCAGCTGCAACTCACGGCGACTCGCGCACAATGCCGATGAGTTATGCACAAGATTGGTTCACGATACTCTCGCGTGCAATAACGGTTTCTATCAGCATTGTATTCCGCCCGTTTGTAAAACTATGTCTCATTGTCAGATAAAATCCAAGTCGTGGGTGCATACTGCGATAGCCATAATTAATTTTGTATTAGCTTGTTACCTGTGTTATCATGATTATCTACCGCAATACCGTACAGACAAACCTGTACATTAACTGATAGTAATGACCAAGTACGTATTATTATACGTCTAATATTTTCCATGGCGTTTCGCACATAGAAAATCATCCTGCTTTTTTTAAGTAGTTATAGTACAATAATAAAAAAGAGGAAGATAGAGTTTTCAATTTTTCAATAATAATAAAATACAGCATGTAATGTATTCCTCAGTAAGCTTTTTTTGAATTATGAATTCTCTCAGGACAATCTCGAGATGATCTTTATTTTTTATGAATATATATATATATATCCTTATTTTTCATGAATATATTTATGAATATATCGAGGAAAAACTGAAATAAAAACCTTTCTCGCACAAAATTGGAAAAAAAAAAAACGAAATTATGAAAACATTATTGGTTGTTACATACACGAGGTCTCGACTGATTCAAGCCCGCAGCACATCTGCCGTCTGCGTAAAGTTTGCTTCTCTCGGCGGTAACTCGGTGAGACGCGCTTCATCGATTGTAATGCATCGCGTAAATTGAAAATTGTTCGATAGTGTATAATTACGGCCAATAATTATCGTGCTTGCACATGCATCAGCGGTCTTCCCCATGATTCGCGACGCTGGAGGATACAGCGGCCAATCGGCGACGCGACGGCGAACTTCGTGACCGATACAGATGCAAGTTTAATGGACGGACGAGATACCGCCGCGCCGCGTCCGGAACTGCACGTTTGCTGGGGGCACCGCCGCGCCGCGCCCGCGTCGCAGCGTAGGCGTAGGGGGCTTTATTCACGTCATTCACGGCTTAAGACATAGCCGGCAATACTCGCAAAAAAATCATCCGTTGCATCTTCCGATCGTTGATCTTTGGCCGCCGCGCTGGAACGAGAACGGTTCTTGGCTCTTTACGCTCTATCCATGGCGCTCTATTATACAAAATGTTTTAACTACTAGAGTTAAAATCCTGGGTATCAATCATGAAACTTTATCCCTAGGATGGAAAGTGAAAATTTTAATCATTGAAGTTAATGGAGAAATTTTTCACTTTCATCTTAGAAAAAAAGTTTCATGATTGATACCCATGTATGAAACTCTTTTGAAGAGAGCTAGAAATAGAGATTTGACAGTTCTGTTAGCGATCCGTTGTTTCGATTCTTTTGTTTTCAATTTGACAGGAAATTTTATCTTATTGTATTATAAAAAACGGAAGAAAGTCGTAACTATAAACTGTAATGCGTTCTCTATAATACATGGAGTAAGAAGTAAGAGTAAGAAATTGACGAATCACAGTCGAATGTGAGAAGAATAATCGACTGTGTATTGTAGATGACGCATAATTTAATATTTAAAGATAAAACTGTCAATTATTATTATACAATATGGAATTTTATAATATGTATTATTATATGTACATACGATTTATATAATATGTAACTATAAGTAAACAAGATTTCAATAACATTCAGTCGTTATACCATTTAATAACTGTTTTAATTTCTATCTGTTTCTGCGAAGAAAAAAATAAAATATGTTATAGATTGCGGTAATTCTTATTTCTTATCTGATTAATACAGTTATATCATAAAATAATTAAAAATTTGCAATTACTAAAAAATAATACGAATTAGAATTCAGAATTTATATAGACACGTCAATTTTTCCACATTCTAATTTTATACCTATGCGGTGGAACAACCTAATTTTCTCGCAATTTAACGCCGTGTTTATTGCGCATGGGGGAATAATTTCACATCCCATGAATAATGAGCAGTTAACAATTAATTTTTATTTTTATATATCTTTTAATTATAATACATTGTCTATATCGGTACGTATACGAATCCTTTAATATTTCAACATGACATATGTTTAGGTTCTGTAACAGTTCACTAGAATACATGTAACTTTGCATTATTTTGTATAGGATAAAAGTTTGCGAAATATCTTTATTATAAGTTTATTTAAAATTTTACTTGTATAAAAAAAAATATTGGGTAAATATCTAAAAAAAAAGGGAACCACTTCCAATAATCTTTTCAAATTTTTTTAACTTTTTTTTGTTAATAATTTTGTTATTAACATGTTATTAACAAAAAAAGTTTGAAAAATTATATCTCCTTTCTATTATATGAAACAGACAGTTTCTGCTTTAAAGTATATTTTACAATTTTCCACACAAAGCGATTCTAAGCGGGGGGAGGGGGGGGGGAGTCGCTTCGCATGGAAGTCATGTGGAAATGTGACGTTCTTGAACTTTTTTTGTCAAAGTCAAGGTCATTGAAGGTGGCTCCCCTTTTCTAGATATTTACCAAATAATGA